GATCGTCTTCCAGTGGTGCGATACGGTCACCATCAACTTCGCAATAGCCCTGAAAGAAGTTATGATTTCCCACAAAGGAATAATCCCCTCGTTGGCCACAGAAACCACACCCTCGTATGAAAGGGCGCTGGGCCACATGTATTTCAACACTATTTCCCTAAGATTGTATACTGGGACTCAAGGAACCCCTGAACTAGCAATCTGGTCGACAACGGGAGTTCTGTGCAGGGATGCCTGAGCTCCGGGGCCTGGAGCGGTGTGGGAGGAGAGTGATTTCCAGTGCGGCCACTGGCGGTGGGCGGCAAGGACGCTCTCAGGTGCTGCGCGCTCCAGCTGCGGCCGCGGCCGGGAAGCTCCGCCCTCCAGCCGCCCAGCGCGGTCTCCATTGGCTGCTCCCCTGAAGGACCGCGCCCCCATTGGCCGAAGACGCTGGAGGCGGGCCCCGCTCGGGAATGGGGCGAAGGCCGTCTCCCGCCCTCCAAAACTCCCCAGAAGGGCGGGCAGTTGGCCCGCAGCAGCAGCGCTGCTGATCCTCAGGGGAGCACTAGGCTCCAGGCCCACAGCCGCCCTCCGTCCGCGCGTCCCCCAACGCGACTATATTTTCCAGGGGGCGGGGCGCGGCGCGGCTTGGCTCGCGCAGGCGCAGTAGGCGCGCCCCGGCGGCCCCCACCCTCGGCCGTGCGTCCGGCCCCGCCCAGCGCAGAGGAGCCTCCCAGCGGCCCCGCCCCCGCCCGCGGCCCGCGGCGGCGGAGAGAGATGACGTCATCAAGCGGGGCGACGGGCTTTGGGCGCCATTTTGAAAAGGGAAAAAAAGTCTGGTGGTGGCGGCGGCCTGGCTGAGGTGCTTGGGCGGCAGCAGTGCGGCGGCTGCGTTCTTGCTCAGCCACCGCCTCGGCGCCCGCCCGCGCCCGCCGGCCCGCCGGCCGGCCATGGCAGGTGAGGAGCAGAGGTCGGGCGGGGGCGCGGGCCTGACGCGCCCGGGGTGTTCCGCGGGAGCCGGAGGCGGCGGCTGCCCCGCGGGCCCAGCGACTTGCAGCGGTGCTTTCTCGCAGGTCAAGGCGGCCGTCGACGAGGACGTGGCCGAAGGTGAGGCCGCGCAGCGGGGCGCGGGGCCGGCCCTGGGGCCTATGGAAGGAGCCCGGTCCGCGCAGGGAGGCGGCCCCGGGGCTGTGGAAGGAGCCCCGGTCACGCAGCCTGCGGCTCTCGGGGCTCCCTGCTCCGCAGGCGGCTGCCTCCTGCGTTCGCTGGGACTACGGAGACGGCCGCGGGAACTGGGGACTCGGGAGGCACACAGCTGGGCTGCTGCAGACTGGCGGGAGTGGAGGGAGCTCGCACAGGCCCGCGTCGCGAGGCTCTGGTCACCTGGCGATGGGGGCAGCCTGCTGTGCCTCAGTTTCTTCTTTGAAAGCAGGGCTGGAGCACTCGATCCTCTGACGTTCTTCAGCTTCACGTCAGTTCTTGCTCCCTTCTCCAGTGATGTATTTTAAAGTTCCTGCTCCAGATTTTACTCTTGAACTTTACGGCGTTGCTTGAAGTAGGTGGATGTTTCCCTTAGTCACAGTCTCAGGTGAGCCACGGCGCAGACTCCAAGGGCGTCGCCTGCCCCAGCTTCCCACGGCGCCGCTGTCATCTCAAAGTCGAGCACTTAGAGGCTTTCCCTCACACACACGAAGGTGGACTCAGAAGTTTAATTAGAATCACATGTGGGTTTTTGTTACTGTTCTGCCGTCTTACTGAACATTGTGAACCTTTCTCCTTCTCTTGAAATTGTCTGTACGTGAAATACACCTTTCTTGCCCCCAATAACTAACAGCCTCTGGCCAGGTGTGTTACACCCTTCCTCCACCTGCCCCCTCCTTCACCCTGCACCTCTCCCTGGCAGTGTGACACCTGGAGATCCTTGGCCCTGAGAGTCGAACAGCGCCCAGGTTATTAAGCAAGTAAAACTGTGCTTTAAGAAGTTTGTAAAGATGTTCATGATTTGAGGTTGAATTCTGTTTCTTTTATATTCAAGATT